ATGATCAGACAAAGGAAAAATTGTAAAGATACTGTACTTCATCAGAATGGCAACATTTTAAAAGATCAGTAAAATGCTGAGTTGACAGTACTAGGGGAAAAAACACTATCACATACTATTGGTGTTTGAATCTTTTGGCAGACATGATCACAATTTTAAAAACAAATATCCTTTGACCTATCAATTTTACCTCAAGGTATCCATCTACATAAACATTTGCAGGAGTTTCTTCAGTTATATTACTGTATAAGAATGTTTACTGCAGCTTTCTTTATAATGCTGAAAAATTAGACAATACCATTCTGCTATAGAACACCTAGGTAACTAACTTATGGCATGTCAAATTATGATGTGATCAGAACAAAATAGATTTGTATTGTTTGACCTGAAAGGATGTCTATGATATACTAAGTGAAAAAAGCAAGCTGCAGAAGTGAATGTATAGAATTTTCACTTTTCTCCAAAAAAAAAAAACTAAAAGTTAAAACCCATATTCACTCACATGTAGAAAAAGGTCTACATATATATGTAACAAAAAGTGTTGGAGGGGAGGCATAGCTCAGTGATAGAGCACATGCCTACCAAGGTTCTGGGTTGAATCCCCAGTACAGCCACTAAAATAAATAAATAAACCTAGTTACCTCCCCCCAAGACAAAAAAAAAGTGTTAACAGTGGTTGTGTCTGGGAGTAAGAAGGTACAGGAGTGAGGAAGAAGAAAAACTCTTTCTAAATTTTGTGTATACTTCTAACTGAAATCTTTAAGAGGATCTAGTTAGTTTGTACATCCCATTTCTTTCCTTCTAGGGATGCAAGAAGTTGAAGGTCATTTTTTGGAAAGTGTTCAGGGGAATGAAGCAAACAGGCAGGCAAAGGGGGGAGGAAGAAAAGATGTTCTGGCCTTGAGAAAGTCCTAACCAGTATCATTCTCACGATACAAGAATGAGAATAGTTGAGATCTGTACTAGTTGTAGCTCCAGCCCAGATTCATAAGAAGGGATAAACCTAGAATCCTTTTACAATCCCCAAATCCTTCCTGAACAGTTAGAGGCCCAGATATGACAAGAGGCTGAGGAGTGAAGGCTAAAGATGACACAGTCCTGGTGTTAACCTCCAGGTCTCTTACCTCATCTTCAGGATCAGGATAAGGTCTCTTGCAAATGCAATACAGTCCAAAAAAGTTGTCATTGTACTTATTGCCTGAATTTATCTTTGCTTTGTCCTGAAAGATATTAATTTCAATATATATGATCTAATTTTAACTAAATATCATGCATCATGAAATTTATGCAGTCAACAAATTTGTGCATTAAATGTCTTCCTCCCAGAAACTGATCTTTAACTTTCAAAGTACAAAAGAATAGTATTCATTCCTATTAAAGGAATACTTTTTCCAGGATACTGGCAAAAAATAGAATTTATTTTCTACACCTTCTTTGTAGCAACTGGGGGAAAACAAATCATAAATATTAATTATCAACTTATGTAAGCTGATATTCACCTAGAATTTCAAAATACTTCTTAGTGTCCAGCTGTGATAGCCAAAACCCCCAGGTAACTAGGAGGTAAAAAGCTGGCAAGGAAACTCTAAAAATAATCCTTGAAGGTGGGAAAAAGCATGACAGTTCTAGCAATGACAATTGAACAATGTAAAATCTCTCATTTTTCTCTTTCATTTCTGTTATTTCACTGAAAGTTATTGTAGAAAGATAGTTTTTATTAGCCAAAAGCAGTGAAAAACTCCTGAGTGCACATAACCCATGCTCACTGTTACCAAGTTTTATTTATTCAGTTCTGAAAATGATACCCTTTACTTTAAAAGCCTTAAAGGATGAGCACAATCAACATAGTTAAACCCAAATCACTTTAGAACATACCCCCAAAACCTTTCATATTAATTACAATCTATACTGTAGGCTCTAAACAGGTTACTTAGTTTTCCAGGAAGTAAAAACTGGAATAGAGTACTAATATTGATTTGCCCATTTGCAAAGAATAAGCAAAAGAACTTCATTTTTGGAAAATACTTGGTTTTGTCCACTCAGACAAATATCAATCGCAGCTACTTTTCACACTTTTATAGTTACAGTGCTTACTTACAGGAAATAATTTGCATTCCAAATTTTTAAACTTGTTGTTTCCACAATCACAACGAAAATTTCTGAAACAAAGGAGGAAGAGTCAAGTTTAATTTTTCTTTTAAATCTAATGACTTACTCTTTAAATTCACATCATAGCGTCTTCCCTTTCAACAGGTTCTAGGATCTAAAAAGTGGCCTTGGTTGTTGTTCATATGTCCAATCCAGAATTTCCCCAAGCACATAACAATAAAAGATTTAATAACTCTAGAAATTAACATTAAAAACAAATATCTGTATCACACCCCCCACATTTCCAAACACAAATAAAATAATGGCAGAGCAGCATGAGGAGAGTTTGTACAATAATTATATTTTAAAAGGTCCTCTGGAAAAATTATTCTCTTCAATTATATTATATAAATCAGTTACATTAAATTTTACCAGTGCATGACTGCTTTGAATGCAAAAACAAAATTAAGAAAAAAAGTGCAGCTAGGAAAGAATCTAAACATTTGAAAAGCATTCAGCACCAATCTCTGACTTTTACCTTTTTGTGTATAGTTCAAATAGTTTATGACTCCCATGACATTCATAACTGCAAGCTAGGCAAATTCCTGCTGGTTCTTCTCCCTCTGGGGTGCAGGTACTACAGGCATATAGTGCTTGTCTCTTTACCGAGCCCTAGAAGACAGCCCCAAAATGGAAAGAGAGAATAAACTGATGAAAAATGGCAGAGTTACCTAGTACCCACACTAAGATCTGATAAATAATTGAAATCAGATTATCTGCAGTTAAGAGCTTCCTGTAAAAACCAGAGACTAATAATAATAATAAAAAAAGCTTATATAAAAGAGTACCAAAACACTGTTGCAAGTTTCACATACTAGTGCTTATTTTCATATAATTTTTTCTTAAAGTGATAGAAGTTTAATATTTCCAGTCAGCTGTGAATAAGCTGGTCTGCTTAATCATTTTAACACATGAAAATGTAGGAGAAAGTGTGTAGGTTTATGTAAGTGATAATCATACTTCAGCTTTGGAAAATGCTTGTGATTCCACCAAAGAGAAAATCAATGCATCAAAGGAATCCCTTTGATTTTTCAGATGTGTGCCGAAGTATTTCGAGGTTAAGTGTCATGGTCTGCAACTTTTTTCCAAATGGTTCAGAAAAAAGAAAGAAAGTATGTTATAACGAAGGGGAAGAAGATAAAACGAATGTGGTAAAATGTTAAAAAGTGAATACATGTAAAGGTACACAGGTGTTCATAATATTATTCTTTCAACTTGTAGGCTTAAAATGTTTCAAAATAAAAAGTTGAAAGAAAAACAAGCAGAACTTTTCGAAATTTTTGATAATGTTTACCCTCTTCTGGGAAGGAAGAAGATACAGGGAAGCTTCTGGGATGCTGGTAATATTCTATTTCTTGGGCTGGGTAGTATGTACTTGCGTGTGTTTTTATTTTTGTTTTCCCAAGACTTATTTATGGTTTGTGCACTTTTCCATATATTTTACTACAACAAAAAATTTTAAGGAAGTCTGTTTTATAAACCTAACTACATTTCAAAAATAAGCTACATACAGACTTTGTGAGGGAAAAAAAAAGGAAAGCCAAGAAAAGGCTGTTTCCGTGCTGACCAAATGTTTTAAAATACCAGCTAACATTTAATACATCTAATACCACGTGTATGAAAAAATCTAACCGCTTGCAGCGGTGGTAACTGGTATTTGATCACAGTCCATAACACATAATGACCACAAGTATCTCGTATTCCTCCAATGTTCCATTCCACCCCCTTGGAAGGTAACCTTCTTCCTCCTACCAATTCTCACCTCTTGTTAGTTTTCTTCTACCCACCTTTCTCTATTTTTGTACCTAAAAACATAGGATGAGTCACAAAACACTACATCACACCCCCTCAAATCCCTGTTCACAACATCTTCCAAATGCCTTCTCTCCTCCCCTCCGCTCCCCTCCTTTGCCAGTGCTACCTGCTGTTCGAGTTCCGTTTATCCCCCGGGGGGGGGGGGCAGACTGCAGACAGACACGGTACTTGCTTCGTGTAGCCAAAAAACCAGCTAACACTTGTCAAACTAAATTGCAAAGGAACCAGATGTCCAGAAGCCCAGCCCACAAGGGGAAATTTTCAAATCCAGAGCTCTCTCTTAACTCCGCTTTGACTCTCCCATTCCTTTCCTGATAAATACTCTTAGAATGGGAAGAGTAGGGACAATGTCTGGATTTGAGAGGTCACGGGGATGATTTCGGGGCACCGAGAAGAGACGGAAGAGTAAGGAAGGAGCAGCTGCTCCAGGGGCAAAGTCTGGAGAATCCTGGGGGGCCGGACAGAGGAAGACCGAGGGAGGAGGAGGGCTCTCCTGCATGCAGGCTGAGGAAGGGGCCCGGGAGACTAAAGGTAAAAGCGCAGCTGGGCCTGGGATGGGAAAGTCTACGACGAACAGAGGCCCCGGGCCACCACGGGGGCTCTGGCTGCGCTAGGCGGGAATAGGGTAAGTCTGGCGGGGAAGAGGAGGTTCAGGGGAACCCAGAAGAGGCGAGGCCCCGGCCGCGCGCCCACCTGTGAGTAGGAGCACTTCTCAGAGTCGCTGCCGCCCAGTACAGCGCACGCTTCATTCTCCAGCTCCTCGTCCTCCTCAAGTACATCGACCAACGATACCACTGGCTCCAGCTCTGAGTGCCGCCCAGCTGGATCCTCGGCTCCGGCCATCCTCAACTGTCACCTGGACCGCCGCTCGGCCCCGGCGGAGGCGGGAAAAGCGGCCGCGGGGGGCGGGGCCGGAGGAGGCGGGGCCGGAGTGTCAGGAACCAATCCAAAAGACGGGGAGCGAAGGAAGGGGGAGGAGCGACTTCCGACAAACGGAAGTTACTCCTCTCTCTTCTCCCGCCTGCGCCCGCGGCGGGCTGGTTTCCGTTTCCGGGTGGCGTTTTTCTGTGGCGCGCTCTTGATAGTTAGTGGTCGTCATGGAGCTGTTGGGCGAGTATGTCGGGCAGGATGGGCAGCTGCAGCGGCTACGGGTGCCCTGTGACGCTCCGGGCGACGCCGACCCTTTCCAGGGCTTGTTGTCGGCCGTGGCCCAGATGAGGGAGCTGGTAGCCGAACTCTTCGGCTCCCTGGTACAGCCGGAAGCGCAGGACCGGATGGCTGCGGCTCCAGACGAGGCCTTGGACGGTGAGCTTTGAGACGGTACTGGAGCGAGAGGAGGGCGGGCTGGGTTTCCCGGGAAAAATCTGCTCAGAGAGCCCATGTAGATTGGCAGACTTGAAGAAATTGAGCCTCAGGGGAAGAAGAATTCCAACTAAAAATTGTTAGCACCTTCCACCGTATATGGGCTTAACCTGGGCTCATTTATCAGGGAGGTTTTTTACAACTCTTTTTTCATTTATGTCAAAAAAAAAAAAGTGCTGAACGCCTGCTACTCTATGCCAGCCATTGGGCTGAGTTCTGGAGAAAAAATGAGGTGAATGCGACTCAGTTCCAGTTCTTGTGGAACTCCGGTGAGGGGTTAGACAGGCAAACACTCTTATTAAAGAGTAGAGGGATGACCCAAGGGTCTTCTGTAACTATTGAAAACCGATAGAACCCAGGAAGACCTCAGAGAGGGCCTGCCTTTTAAGTTGGGTTGAAGGATGAAAAGGAACTTTTCCCAGGTGTGAAATTACAAACATGTTTGGAAGACTGCCACCTATCGCCCAATAGGAACATGTTCCAAAGGTTGGAACAGATTTCAGATGAACAGGTCTTTTAACTCTCAGGGATTGCTTTCCTTTCCCAGATTTGTAGGTGTAGTTTGAAAGTAGAAATGAGAAATTTAACTGCATTCGTTTTTTTTTTAATCTTGTCTTGAATAGCTAGGTACATTTTGAATACCCTGAGCTGAAGAACCTAAGAACTAAATATTGGAATCAGGACTTAACCCCTCTGTAGAGTAGCTTAAACTGTACCATACTCTACTGTACTTTTCTTGTTTACTTCTTGTTAGTGCCAGATAATGTGAAGAAGCCAATTCTGAACATTACACGAATGTCAGACAATAGATTGTTTCCATGAGAGTGAAGTCTTGTTTCTTAGCTCCAAAAGTTCTCTTCTAATCTGTTGAAAATATTATCATTTGAGTAAGGACAGGTATAGATAGAGCTGTTTTTTTAAAAAGTGTGTGTATGTATGTGTATATATATATATATATGTATTTATATGTATATATATATATATATACTTACTAGAAAAATAATTGATGCCTGTTCTATTGGTAGTGAGTCAGTAATATCTTCATACAGGAGGACATGTTTTTGTAAGTTCAAGGAAGTCCCCCAAAAGCTTCAGTTTGAATTTCCTTTGTTAAAAGTGATAGAGGTTAAAATGACAATTTTTATCATATATGAATTATATCTCAAGTTAACAAATACTAAATTTTACAAAAATGTTAAATAATTATAGAAAAGAAAAGTGACAGAACTGAACAACTAAAAAGA